ACAGAGAACTGGGGGGGTCGTTGGGGGGGGGAGGTGGAGTTTGGGGGATCCCAGAGGCCAACGGGACCCGAAGGGGAACCCCAAAAGCAACAGAAAACCAGAAGGATCCTAAAGAGGATTGGGAGGGGGGATCCCAGGGGACGTGAGGGACACAAAGTGACCACGGGGGGAATCCCAGCACCTCAGGGACCCATAGGGAGCTCAAGGACTCCACAATGATCCCACAAGGACCTCAAGAACTCCACAGGAATCCCATTTGGACCTCAAGGGCCCCACAGGGATCCCGAAAGGCCCTCAAAAATCTCAGAGACCCCATAAGGATCCCACAAGGCCCTCAAGGACCCCAGGATCCCATCTGCATCTCAAGGACCCCACAAGGATCCCATAAAGATCTTGAGAGCTCCACAGGGATCCCGTTTAAACCGCAAGGACCCCACAGGAATCCCATAAGGCCCTCAAAAATCTCATAGAGACCCCAGAAGGATCCCACAAGGCCCTCAAGGACCCCACAAGGATCCTATAAGGATCTCAAGAGCCCCACAGGGATCCCGTTTGGACCTCAAGGACCCCACAAGGCTCTCAAAGCTCTCACAGCCGTCTCAAGAACCTCCAAAACCCCATAAGGAGCCCAGCGACCCTCAGGCACCCCACGAGGACCTCAAAGACCCCACAGCCCCCCCCCTCCGTGACCCCACACCTGCGATGAGCTGCCGCAGGGCCGCGTAGCGCCGGTTCCTCAGTCGGGTTCGGGCTCCGGGCCTTCGGGGCCATCGGGTCGCCCCGGTTTCGGGGTCCTGCCGCCTTCGACCCCGCACCTGGCGGCAGTAAAAAGCGACCTCGTAGCAGGGGGGGAGGTGGGCGAAGCAGGGCAGGTGCTCGGCCCTCAGGGCTCCGTGGAAGCGCTCGAGGAAGACGAGGGGTTTGCGGAGGAAGAGCGCCCGCAGCTCGCGGTGCCGCTCGGCCGCCGTCAGCTCGGGGTCTCCCTGCTGCTGGCTGCGCACGCGGACGGGGCTGGCGGCCACCGCGGCCAACATGGCTTCCACTGCAGCTGTGGGGAGGGGGGGGTCCTCCTCGGCGTCCGGGGGGTCCCTGAAGGGTGCTGGGACTGGTTCTGTTGTGGGGCGGACTTGGTGGGTGGTGGGGTCCTGGTCTTCTTCCATAGGGGGCGAGGGGTTCGCAGGGGGGGAGGGGGCCCACTCCGCCACGCGGCGCTGCTCAGGGTCGGGGTCTGTTGTGGGGTGAACTCCGTGGCTCCTGAGGTCCTGATCTTCTTCCATAGGGGCTGCGGGGTCCCACTCCGCCCTGCGGTGCTGCTCGGGGTTCGGTTCTGCTGTGGGGTCTCTGCTTGTGGACGTGGGGTCCCACGGCGCCGCTCTGGGGGCCCAGTTTGAAGACGTGGGGGCACAGCTGGACGCTTTGGGGTCAGGTTCTGCCGTGGGGTCTCCGCTGGAGGGCTTTGGGTCCCCCCTCATGGCTTTGAGGTCCCCATTTGAGGACACTGGGATCCATTTGGACGCCTTGGGGTCAGGTTCTGCCGTGGGGTCCGCAGTGGGAGACGCTCTGGGGTCCCGTTCTTCCACGGGGCGCCCCTCAGGGGGCACTTTGGGGTCCCACCCTGCCGCGGGGGTTTCATTTGAGGAGGGGGGGTCCTCCTTCATCACCGTGGGGTCCCGGTTTGAGGATATGGAGATCCATTTCGATGCTGCAGGGTCCCGGTTTGAGGACATGGGGATCCACTTCGATGCTGCGGGGTCCCGGTTTGAGGACATGGGGATCCACTTCGATGCTGCAGGGTCCCGGTTTGAGGATATGGGAACCCAACGGGGATCCCCGTTTGAGGACACGGGGATCCACTTTGACGCCGTGAGGCCCTCTGCCTCCTTGGGGTCCTCCATCACTTCGGGGTCCCGGTTTGAGGCCCTGGGGTCCCTTTGGTCGCTCTGAGGCCCCACACCGCGGTGCTGCCCCGCTTTGGGGTCTCCGGTCCCACTCTGGGGTCACGCCGCAGTTCCTGGAGGTGGAGCACAGCGTCACGGCAGCCCACGGCAGACCCCCGAGCGCTCCAAGACCCCCAAACGGGTCCCGCGACCCCCCGGAACCCAACGTGGGCGAAAACGGGGGAACGCAAAGCGCTGCGGGACCGCGGGGCTCCCGCTGACCCCGGGAGGGACACTGAGGGACCCC